TGCAGCAATCTGACATTCACACACAGCAAGGCAACATGTCTCTTTCTCTTTGCTTCTTGCACTCGTACTCTTGGCCGGATCCATCAGTGTGTGTTTGTGTGATGTTGTGATGTGTCAAGCATGCATGGTGATGACCAGGGCGAGATATCAGATAGTGGAGGTACAAACATTGAACGATTGAACGTGGAACTGAAGGTGCCTGTGCTGCAGTACATCAGCAGTGGTACAGACCAGCAACATACCGCCGAAGCCGAACGAGAAACGAAGCACGAAATGTGGTGCCAGGAACTCGCAAGCATCTGAAGCCTTCGTTGTTGAGCTTGTTTGTACATGAATGAGCTGCTCGGGATGCAATGCAGGCCAGTGAGTGCTGCTCTCAGAAAGTGGCTGTGCCAGTCTTGCGACTCCTTTTTGTGCGTGGGTGTGGGTTCGCGCATGTGCCGAGCTCTGGAAGAGAGAATACTAGTTGCTTGCTCCGACAACTTCAGCCGTGGACCCTGGTCGATTTGCTTTTCGGAGCCGACTCGCCGAAGCTAAGAAACCAGCAAATCAGAATTCTGTTTTAGCAGCTTTAGTACTCCAATCCCGTTTAAACCGGTGTCTTCAGGGTGGTCGTGCCAGCGAGTCACGAACTGATCGTCGTCTCGTGCTACACCCGCTTTGCCTGCCTGGCATGGTGCTTTCAGCTGTCCGGAACGGCTTCTGGATGCAGATTGTTTTCAGAGCTAGGGCATGTGGGTCGAACGCTGATGGTCGGCTGGGAGTCAGAGAAGCAAGAGCTGCTGCAACGTTCCTCGTACATGCTTGTCAGGATATTCCAGACCCTGAAAATCGAAGCTTGAGCTGTTGTGCTTGGCACATTGCTTGCTGCCTACAGCCGCGACATGGACCGTGCCAGGACAACCTGGCGCATGGTCCCCGGGGAACTGAGGCAGGGGCCGGGGGTTTGGGGGTAGAACCTGTGACAGGAGGAGCTGCAGTTTCTGCTATCAACTAGTCAAGTGTGGCACATTGCAATGTAGTTACTGTTGTGGATCCAACGGTAAGCACCGAATTTCAGCAACAACAGGGCAGCCAGGGTGCAGAATGCAAGCCACCTGCGGCATGAAGATTCCTGTCGCGACTCACAGCAAACGAGTTCCTGCTTGACGAAGGGCAGGGGGACCGCTGTTGTCCGAGATTCAAGGGCATACCACAATGTGACCCGAGTCCTGGCAAGGCCAAGAGGAGTTTGTACACCTTCCGATTAGATGAGAACGATGGGCAGGGAGCTCAGGGTCGTGTGACGTCTCAGTTTCAACAGAGACAGCTAGCTCAGTTTGATCTGCTTACCTGTTTGCTTGGCCTTCGCAGGGAGTTGGTATTGTTCTCTGTCACGACAGACGACAGTGCCAGCATCCCAGAAAAGCTGCATGCAACATGGTTTGGACCAGTTGCTCCAGCTGCCGGTGTCAAGTGTGGTAGCAGTTGCTACCACTGTAAGCTCTGGGTCACCACATCCAAACAACTTGTCAACACCAGTGGGAATGCCGAGTAGGCTCCAGCCCCAGGTCATGAATCCAGCCTTCTCCAGATTCAATGCAAAGAGGCATCCTGGATTCGTGCTTCGTCGTGTTGTCTTGGATCGTTTCGACAGGGCCTACGGCCTGCTTTCAAGTCTGGAGTGTTGCACGGCCTCACACATTGGCCAGGATACTTCTCCTCTTTGTATCGGGAAGTATCGGGATCCGAGCATGAGCTGGACGTAAAGCCAAAAACTCGGAGCTGGACCAGAAATAGAAGCCCAAAAGTCAATACCTGGGCGCAGGGCCTGTGTGTGATCCAGCTCCGGTCAGGAATCTGCTGTACACCTGCACGGAGTCAGTATCAGAGAATGGCGAGATTGCCCCTACCTTGGAGAGCTGTGAAAGGTTCTGTGTTTGGACCAATCGCTTCTGGCTGTTTATACTGGGATTGTGTGGAGTGTTCCGTGTTTACTCGCGACTGCTGCATCTGTTTGGGTGCATTGAGGACCTATGTCACAGGAGCACAGCATGCAAGCGCAACTACGGTCAGAAAAGACCACAGATGTCTCCATCGATGTAGGAGTTGGTGGTAGCTGATGAAATAACTACTGTATTTCTGCGGTCACGGCTTGGCCAGGTGACATACTCCGTGGATGCTAGCACGGGTAAGCTGTCCAAGGTGGGAAGTGCCGCGCTCAAGGAGAATTAGCTTTAAGCCACCTCTGCAGAGCGTGCACGACCCGCCTCCTGCTTGGTGAGCTCACACACCACTAGGGCGCAAAGGGTGTGCGAGTGTTTGTCTGTTGGGACGCTGTTGCACCAGTGCTCCGGCTTAAGGTCAGGATGCTGGAGGCACCTCGACATGCTACTTGACGTTGGACAAGGCGGACTCCCGCAGAGTGGCGCCCTAGATTTAGGCGTTTCCGTTCATGATTCGATATATAGTACTCTTACACCGTGTGGCGAGGGTTGAGCGCTGTCCTGATGCTGACTCAGGGGTCTGAGAACTTGCTCGTCGTCAATTATTGGAACGCCACCATCGGCGTTTTTGGTTCCTGCCTCGGCTGGTCATGATTGCAGGTGTTGCTAAAGAGCTTCAACTGATTTCGTCAGCATGTCACGTCGGACCACCCGCAGCTTCAAGCTGAGCATCGGCAGCAATGCTCACCAAGGTCTCGACAAGGATTCTGGTTTGGTGGGCAACTCCCGAAGTATCTTTGACCCCAATGAGGGCCGAGGAATGAAGGCCCGGCCAACAACTTTTGTAGGGGTTGGTCAGGAACTCCGGAAGGATGCTTTGGCGTCAGCTCCTTGCAAAGATAAGGTGGGACTTGATTTACATCTACGGCTGTGCCACATGTGCTGCAGCTGTTGCGGATGCTGCCGTTGCTGCTGCAGTGGTGTGACTATGTGTGACTATTATTGCTGCTATGGTGCTGATGGTGAAGCCTCGTGGCCACGGCAATTGCCGGTCGTGAACTTGCTTCACGGATAGTTCTTATGATGCGTGCTTCGTTTTCGCATCCGTTGCCGAAATCCAATTCGGCTGCAGCTCAAATCTAAAGCATTCGCGAGGTCAGCCACGCCAAGCATGTGAACCATTCAGAGAACGACCCGAATGCGCAGAAGGAGAGGCAAAGCGATCCGTGGCATCCTCAGACATCCCGCTAAGCTCAATGTTTTTTGGTACTATGTGTATGTGTGTGTGTGTGTGTGTGTGCTCCAATGGGGGCGACTGGGTAGTTGTAGGTGCGGTCTTGTATGCGCAAGGTTCTTAGCAGTGAGCTTGTAAGCCCGGAGACTCCAGCCTGAACCCCGTGACGTTGCGGAGCAGTCTGAACGTGTTTGTGTGCTGGAACTTGTCGCCAGGCACTCTCACGCAGTCATTCTGGACCCGCAGGTAGCCTCAGTGCAGCAAGCGAAGTGCAGCCATCAGCTCTCAGCGTCTGAGGTCAATTTAGCTATCGTAAAGCTTATCCCCTGCACCGTACATGCTGTGGTGCCTGGGTCCTCACATGTCGTGACTTGCACTCGCAAGATGGTCACCACAGCCTGAGGGCCAGGAAGTGGTAATGGGCCACCGCATGCGCAACATGGTCACGGTGTCCTCAGCGGTACTTGTAGGCATAGGTCTTAGCAAGCCTCCACAAGATTCAGGACAAGCTAAAATTGCAATTGGAATTTTCAGAAGTGTAGCTCGAGTGCACCCAGTGCGAGAGCTGAAGGTCTATAGAAGCCACGATTTCGAAACAGAGCAGAACAAGCAGCACGCGTTGGCCCAGGTTCTTCGGCCAGATAGCGTACGTGCCTGATTTGGGCAGGTTCCTCAGACACTTGAAGGTTCATGGAGCTCAGTTCTGCCTGAACGAGTTCCAGTGGCCTGTTCTGTCTCCGATGAGGTATGGATCTCATTCGCCAGTTCAGGTGCACCTTGTTGAGTCCACTTAGTCTCAGACAGTGTGGAATGCTTCACGGCATTTCACGAAGAATCCGCATAAGCCATGTGCCACACTAAGTCTGCTCGCAAGGAAAGTCAGGCTGAGAAGCAAACTCTGCAGAACGTGGTTTTCTGCCCCGGAGTGCAACATCCGCACTTCCGCTCCATCTTGAGTGCAAGAAGCAAAGAGCCTCTTCCAGTTGCAGGTTCAACCCCCAAAGCGGCAAGCTGGAGGCCGCCGGCTTCTGCAGGCACAGTCGGCAAGCTGAGCTTCAGTGGAATCAGGCACGAATCCCTCAAGGCCCTGACAATCTTGATTTCAACACCGCCGACGACGTGTCGACGACGTGTCGACGACGTGTCGACGACGTGTCGAGAATGTCGAGTCTGAGCGAGTGTCTCCGAATTTGCGGCAAATGCTGCGTCTTGAATGGAGCCCAGCGAAGCACCAAGTGAGCTTCGGGGAGGTCGGGTCCCGAGAGCAAGTCTGCCCTTGGCCCGCGATATATCGAGCCTGAGCCTTGGGACGGGGCTTTACTTTTTCGGCTCGGGAGGCCTTGGATAGCCGAGGTTCCACCCGACGCTCCCATACGCCTACGTCGTCAACGAGCTTTCCTCTGAGGCATCTCCGGTTCCCGGCCGCAAAAGGGTCCCTGCCAGTCCCTGCACCGACCTGATGTGCTTCGCAGCCGCAGGTTTCTGTTTTTGCCTTCGATCGCGATGCCGCAGAGGACATGTTGAGCAGCCGCTGCCCTGAAACACCTCAACTCTTTCGGGCTGCTTTGCAGAGAGTTCCACGCTCAGGCTCGGATGTGTCCACGGCAGCGCCGACACTTCGCCTGGTGCAGACTGACTCTCGCCCGAACTTCGTTGATCTCAATTTCAACGAAATTTTTGCTGTTGTAAGCTGACTTCGGCTTTCCATGCACTGCTGTTGACAGAGGTGAGAACCATTCCTGATGCCTGGCCGAGTGACATGAACACGTGTGGGCGAATAGCTGCAGAGCCCTCAGCTGTCAGACATAGGATTATCAATCACCTCGCCTTGCGCATCAAAGGAGCTGACCCTCAAGACAAATGTGTCAGTGCGGCGCGTTCTAGTTTGCCCGCGAGAATCTTTACGAGCGCCTGACTGGTCCGCGCATCGTGGAAGGAGCCAGTACGTCAAGCGAATAGGTCGCCCAGTCATCCTGGAAGCACGAATCAGAATATTTACAAGCAAAGCAAGCTAGCACCCTCTCTGGAACCAGGTGCACAACTCTGGCCATTTCGTGCTTGTTTCCAACAGAGGACGGCACAGGGTCACAGGTTTGCAGGTTACAGGCTCCAAGATTGCTTGATCACCTTCTCAGTAGAAGCACCGTGATGATATGCACAGCGAAGGGCCAAGCAATATGTACATATGCAGCTTGCAGATGCGGTGTTCCTTGAAGCTCCCTCGACCGAAATCCAGAGGGGTAGGCTTGCAGGCTTGAGATCGACCCACGATTGATCCGTCACATTTTGCTTGCCAAATACCAAGTGCTACCGCTCCTGCATCCACTGACACCACATTCCCAGGGCACAACAGCATCACCGTCTTCCGCGTAGCTCATGAGCTCGGGCACCAGGGGCAACTCTCCCTGGCGCCGTGAACTGAGATCTTGGAAGATTGATAATTAAGCTCTTTTTCCGTGTAAGGCTTTTGGGCGCAAGGATTTGTACGTCCTCGGCCGGTCTGTTGGAATCATGGGTCTGTAGCGGCTGTAGCGACTCTTGGTGATGCTACTTTCCTGTGGCAATCACCCACTTTCCACCAACAAGAGCATGATGTACGGTAGCAGACACAGCTTTGTTTGGCAATTGCCGATGTGCCACCAACAATGACTTTCTCGCAAAGCGCTGCTCAGGCACTTGCAGCACACACGCGGTGCCACCCCGCGCCACTTCCAATTCGATAGCTCAGGCTGGTGGCCTGTCGTTGTGTTGAGCTCGGATGTATCTGTCCAGCAACCACGAAGGCCAGAATCCAATCCCTGGGAGCTGAAGCATGTTCAACTGTACGGTGCCCTTGCGTGGCCTTTGTTCTGTTCACATAGTGTCTGTTCGTCGTTGCACACTGCCATAGAGGCCGGTGTATCGGATCTAGGGCAAAGCTAGCGGCTAGTGAACTAGTGTTGGCGATATTGGCATTCGGCTGTGGGGCAGCTGGAGCACTGAACCCAGTGTGCCCCGGCCGCAACCCCATCCAAGCATACTGCAATGAGATTTGCAACCAAAGACTTGCAACTGACTCTGTGCAGGCCAGTGGCTGATCTCAGCAAACCAGGACTCTGACAAGATTTCTGTTTTCCGTTGCCTGGCTGTCAATTTGGTGCGTTGCCGCCACAGAGGTCGATATCAAAGAGGGGCACCCGCTTCCTGCTTGGGTTTCAGGTTCGTGTTTGCATGCTACGTGCCGCTGTTGATTTTAATTCTTTGCCACGAAGGGCTTTTCGGCCCATGGCTTCATCCTGAGGGATGTCACACATTCTGCAAGGCAAAGAACTCACAAAGCCGCCGTGAAAGGTTAAGCAGAAGCACGTTCCTGCTGCTTTATGGGCGCTCTGCGAGGCTTTAACATTGCCACTGGCACCATGGAGTGGACGGGCAACGAGTGCGCCTAAACTCTCTGGAACGTGGGGATCCGAGGTTCCGTCAGTGTTGGATGACCGCCAGATGGTTACAAGTTACAAGTGAGAAAGATGTATGCAAAATACGAGTAAACCCAGAATCAGTCCGACATACGTGTCAGAAACGCAGTATAAGTGCAGGAAAACTGCAACTTCAAGCCGCGCCCGCTCTCTCCCTGATTCTCAAGAGCCAATAATGGGACCAAAGCTGCTTTACTTTTCATCTACACATCTGCTCAAGGTTTCGTTTCATGTATGTTGCCTTTCTGGACTCGCTCAGCCTGTGTCATGTTCGCTTTAAAGTAATTGCACTGGTGGTGGTGACATGGTCGTGACAGGCCTCGTTGACATTTCTACTCTATGTACGGTTGATTTCCAGCAAATGATTTTGAGGAGTCCCAGTCTTGAGAGAACAGCGGGTCTTTTTCGAATTAAGCCCGGGTGCTTCGAGGGATTTTGGGTTCGGACCCTGCTTCAAGCCCAACTCGGAAGGCCACGGAAACCCTTCAAACCCTAGATCCTAAACCTCTTAGGAACGCAACGACCTGGGAGGTACCACGTGCCTTCTCCCAACTTCGTTTGCTGCCTGAGGTGTCTGAGAGGTTTTCTGCAGTTAGGGTTCGGGAGGAACGTTTGAGGCGTGTATCTTTCTTTACTTGAAGTAAGGAATGCGGATGGAAGCTAGTATCATGACTATGTATTTACGTAAGTCTGTATTTGCTTACCTATCGCTGGCTGTAAGCCTATACATGTTCGTACAGGGTTATATACTCAGTTATATGCTTTTACACGGTCAAGCCGTGTGAAGCCGTTCTCTCGAGGCTGCAGGGCCAGAGGGTGCAAATCACGGCAATTGACGGAAAAGTTCAAGCGTGTGCTGTGGTCTTCTGGTGGCCGAAGACGACCTGTAGCAGGTGCCGAGCCGATCACCGTCACTCTAATAACAGTTTGATATTTGCGGAGCATCAAAAACCCAGTCTTTCAGTCCGATTCAAACCAGAGAGCCTATGGTCGCCCAGGAACAGGACCAAGCCCCGATGCAATAAAAAAACTCAGCAGCAATCACGACAAGTTCAGGTTCAGGCACAGGGCATTTGCGGGATTCGCTGAACTTCCAGGCCGCAGATGAGAATGTCCGCGCACAGCCAGCCCGCGAAGCCTGCTAACGGTGCAGTTCTGAGCAACCGCTTAGAGCAACGAAGCCCAGACAAAAGAGAAGCTGTGTGTACCAAGGTCATCCAATGGTGGCGATGTCGAAGCTATGAGGCCGGGGCAGAGTGCGCCATTCCAAGATGCCGCTGCGCTTGGGTTGCAGCAGGTCTGCATCTCCTCGACTACGCTTCATGCATGAGATCATGCGCAGAAAATTGCACCGGAGCTTACCTCCAAATGAGGCGCGTTGACAGAGTTGTGTTTGCTATCATCTGACTGTTGCCCAGTGAGACTTGGTGCACAACTGCATTGGTGGAAGATACATTTATTTGCCTGCCTTCAGGTTAGGGGCGATGCGGTCATGGAGTGTGAGGGTGGGGCGTGGATCAATGCATTGATAAGCCTGGGATAGAAAACTGACCTGCCGCTGTTTCTGTGGCAGGTGCTTGCCTTGAAAAACTCAACAGGATTACATGTACCATGCGGACGTAAAGGGGCTCGTGATATTCCTTTTGCCCAAGAGAGCAGACAGCCACGCCCCGGCCGCCAGATTGTACAGTGCAACATTGAAACTACCAGAGCTCAAATGGCGATGTGGTCCAATAAGGCCAGCCGTTCCTTTGCGAAGGCTGTTGGACCAAAATGATTGGCAATCTCGGGTTCGAAGTTTCTTGTAACTTTAGTCACATCATTTGGGTGCGGAAATGCCACTTGAGCAGATTTTTGAAGTACGAGCCGCAGCATACTTGAAAGCAGAACGACAAGCCTTGTGTGTGAAGCCACGTTTCGTTCCGCTTACCAGGACGTTGCTTGCGGATGGTCATGTGCCGCTTTAGTCAGGCACACGGCTCTGCCGGCCAGCATGTGTGAATGCTTCTGGTTCCGTAATTCGTGGAAACTGCTAAAGTTTCTGTGTCTTGGCGCCCTTTTGGTCCAGTGCATGAAGCACCGATTCGACACGATGTGTTCCTTGACTGCACAGTCTTGTGTCAGATAAGATCTCCTTCCGAAATCACTGGAGTGGTGCCAGTTCGGGCTGTCAAGGTAGTTTCCCCGGTTGGCAGTGGTTGCTTTGATGTGAAGGTCCCGGAGTCTGCACATCACTGCCATCCACCTTTGGCGACACCTGTTTGAGTAAGCTTTAGAAGGTGCCTGCAAAGTCGCTTTTTAACCCATAGCCGCCAGCTAGTGCTGCTTGATTTTGGAGCCCGCTTTGCCTCCTGGTGTTGGCAGATTGGGGTATTTGGCGAGCTTGAGGAGTTTCGGAGGCTTCAAGAGGAAGCGTTCCTTGAGCCAACACCAGGCGTGGGGCTTTTGTGAACTCCACGAGGAGGACTGTCCGAACGTTTGGATGGCTTTCTCGCTACATGACCAGGCGGCCAAGCGTGAGCATGCACATGCATACCGAAGGGAATGCTCACAAACCGTTCAAGAAAGCTCACACAAATAGCGGCCAGCGACCACAAATCAGGCGGACGAATGTCGCACGTTGCCTGGGGCTCTTGCATCGCACCACCCCGAGCCGCTGCCACTGCTTCTGCCGCAGCCGTTTCTAACTGTCAGCGCGATCTCTGTTTGTGCGCATAGGGAGAGAGGGGGTGCAGACACAGCGATGGCCCCCGGTGTAAGTGCCGGGCCCTTACTCGCTTCGACTGGCTTTGGCGACTTTTTCCCTTTTATGTTACACCACTGCGTGACCCGCAGCTTTCCAAGAGTTGTCTTCGGAAGCCCCACGAAGTGCCGCCCCGTGATTGTGGTGTGCTGCTGTTTGCTTGTGACAGTTCAAAGTGTCCTTTACACTTTGGGTGGCAGAGACTGTTTGTGTACAAACTCGAGCTGTTGATTGAACAAGGCTAATGCTTGGATGCAAGACAGACAGCCTGCGACCGAGCTGCTCTGATGGCTTCCGTGTGGCAGCGCGGGTCATCGACGGCTGTAACGGCTTTGAGGCAAATGGCTGGAGCTGTCAACTTCTGGCAGCCGCGGCAGGAGCAGCAGCTCCTTGGCCGTCGCGATAGCAAGAAAGACAGTTTGAAAGGAACCGAAAGGGACCCACCACAGAGTTCCCATCCAAGTGCTCGCTCTCAAGTCGACTGAGGTTGCCGAGCGATGCAAATTGGTTTGGGAATGATTCCGCGGCTGATGGTGTGACTCCAGCAGAGGTGCAGTGTGGGTTACTTGCTTAGTTGCGGCCATTTCTCTTGATTGTCTGCTTCGAAACACAGTTCGTTTTGTTACCTTGTTCTTCGAGGGGTTTCCGCGGACACCAAGATCAGAAAATCTTGGCTTCGAAACGGACTCCCGGCACCCTATGCAACCCTGCAGCCCAGCTTTAATTCTCTTGAGGCAGAAGCCCACACAGCCTTTCCAATCTCCAAGTCCTCAGAAAAGAGATATTGATATTGACTGCAAAGATAGGCTCCTCCGCCAGCCCTTTCCCGTGTTCCGGCTTTCTCTTACTGCAGCATCTGCTCCAGAGAGTCAATCACCCGACGCATCCCGAAGTCCCGAGTCCTCCACGGGCAGTTGGCTCTTCTGCAGCGGCATCTGAACAACGGATCTCAGTGGCAGTGGTGGCAGACGGAAGCCAGCTCCTGAGATCCCAGATGCTTGAACTTGAAGTGGGGGTTTCCGTCCCTGCCTTTCCGTCGTTTTGGGCTTGGACGTGAACCCGTTACAGACTGTGAGCATGTGTCGATTATAGCACGAACTGACACACCGTTCTGGATTGCCGCAGGAGAAAAATACTGTTGAGATGAGGCACCGGCACAGAGCGGCAGCGCCCCAGCCGGCGACGGCGAATGGGCGGCCGGCGGTGTCTGGCCCTGGCAGGGCTCAGGTGCTTTGGGGGCGGACCTACGGTGATTGCAGTGTGATTGTGATTCGTGTCATTGTCTGTGTCACTTAGTAAAAGTAGTCTATTTGCTTGCATCGCCAGTATTCATCATTTTCTTCTAACTTTGTTTACATCATAATGCTCGTGGTTGTACATCGACATTGTCTGCGCGGTTCTGCTGGAACCTGCACGACTGTCATGAGTTGGAGGCATGTCTGAGATGAATGGGGCGGCCCGTCCAGCAATGGAGGCACCGTCTGGAAGCACATTATGTTTGACATTGGTTTATACAGGTTTTGTCATGCGACATCTCTTGTCTCTGAACTGTCCAGGCTGCCCAGGCTGTCCAGGCACAGACAATGACCGCCATGGCTCCTGAAGGCTCTCGGGGAACAAATCTTCTCGGCCCCTCAAGGTCTCGTTTGGGTTTCCCGGTCTTGGTGTGCTGAACTGATGTTTCTGACAGCGGCCCCCTGGCCAAACTACGCTTGCAAGCGCAGGCCGGAGATCCAGATGTAAGCTGCTTGAAGGCCCAGTAAGATCTTGCTCAGCCGCGGTCATGTTGGAATCGTAATCGAATGCGTACGAGCAGCAACATGTTTCCTCTTCTTCCAGTGCACAATCGCACGAGCCACAAGCTCCTCAGTAGGCGATTGGTCCGCGGGTGTGGCGCAGCCATGGAATTGGCAAGGCACTAGGGCCCCAGGGCCCACGGCACAGAGGGCCAGGGGTTTGATCCTTTGAGCTTCGAGGTGCTTGGCTTGATTGCGTTCCGAGCTGCATCCTTTGAAGTTTGGGGCGTGTGTCCGACCCATTCAGGCACTTCCGATATGGATGCTGTGGCTACTTCACTTCCGCAAGCAGATGTTCAGGCCGCACCTAAAAAAGGGTGGAAGGAGTGCAGTATTTCATTGGCAGTTCGGAGCATCGCGTTCCGACTGGGAACATCGTGCCACGCTCGAAGCGTCAGCGATGCTTGCATAAGAGAAGACATCATCTCCGTCCAGGCTCAACCTACTCCGTCCTGGTCCTGGGATCAAGGCCGGCAAGGTGCCGAGCAACGTGGGGCCAAAAGGGGGTTTCTGCAGTGAGCAGCTTGGCCCCGAGATCGAAGTCCTCGGAGACTTTTTAAATATTGTGTCAGTCAGACGGGACCGTCCTCCTTCTAATGTATGCCTCAGGGACAGGGGTACCGTAGAGATTTTGGCATGGAAGTGGAGGAAGCTGCCTGTGCCAGGCTCGGCCGAGAACTCTGCGACTCCGCCGATCAGAAGTTCCCTCCCCCAGGCAGTTGTCGTGTTTTCCGGATGTTCAAGACTGCCAGCACACACGAGGACCGCATAGGCGTTTCTGCCCTCTGGGTAGAGGCCACTCTGCGAGCAACCCACACGAGACCACCTCCTCGAGATCTGTCTGCATCCTGTAATGCAAAGCCTCGAACAAAAATCCGGATTCGGCACCCCCGAAGCTGAAAAGACAGCCTTCTTGTAAGCCAGAATTCTCCAAACCACCCCATAGATCAAAAGTGCTGAGCGGAGGTGGCCGCAAAGATCCTCGGAGCACCTCCGGGTCTCGGCAACCCCGCAGACGCGGACGGTGTGGGTTTCTTTCAGCGTTGAGGATGTATCGAGAAGCCCGTTCAGGTGTTTTTGATATGGCATGGGCCCGGCCGATGCAGTGGTGTTCTTGGTGATTTTTCGCTTCCAGGGAAATTCGTCTAGAAGACTCGAGAGCAGGAATATTCCATGCCAAGCGCTGACATGACCCCGTGCTAATTACCGGTAGCATTTTAGGGAGATTACCCCAAAGCTCTATGCTTAACCCTATGATCCAATTATTCTTACTCCAAAGCCCTATTCCAAGTATTACTACCCCGATATCAGACTCTATAGGCTCAGTAGCGAGGATCCCGACAAGGGCCTCGCGGAGCAGATGACGCCTGGGCCACGGTCTTGTGCCTCCTGGCGAGCTGCTTCTCAAGCGTATCGCTGAAGATGCGAGATGCGTCTTTGAAGAATGGAACACGTAGATAGTAAGTAAGTCTGCGTGGGTATATACGCCAGCATAAACCTACAGGTGCACACAAGCACACATGCCTGTATCATCCACATGTCTGTGCCTACCCGTCTGTCTGTTTGCCCGGCTTTCCGTCTGTCTATCTGGCTGGCTGCCTGGCTGCCTGCCTGCCTGCTTGCCTGCCTGACCGCCTGCGTGTCCACCAATGCTCCAGAAGTAGGGAGTGATGCGGGCATGTGTCAGACGTTGGGCATGTAAAGCCTTCTTCTGGTGCCTTGAAAGGTCTGCGGTGGCGCTGTTCCTGGCCGGCGCGGATTTCGATGAAGCGGATCTCCCGGCTGGTTTGGAGATGCGGCCGAACGCCTTGAACGCCTGAAATCTTCGGGAAACGCCTCTTTGAAAACCAAAGCCCCGTCAGCAAACAGGACAGCGACGAAGAACCTTCGCCAGAGCCAGTGCCCAGCGGCGTGGCCGGCGAGGCCTGGGTGGATTTAACTTTGGGCCCTTCGCACTAGGATTTGTCTTGTGGTGCCTGTGAGGGCCCGGAGACAGATCAGAAGTTTGCGGGTTGCAGAGTTGCGCTTAGGGCGTGACATGTAGGCCGAGGCCTCGCCGATTGCAGAGGGTCCGGTTGGGGTGGGGGGCCTTTGAGGTGGGATCTTGTTCGGGATTCACTTGTGTTCGTCCTTTGCTAGACCACTCCCACGGTCCATTCCTGAGGTCTCACGACCAAGGCTTCACAGATTACAGAGGTTGGAAGGATGAGACATGAAGATGGTGCTGGAGAGTTTGTGGTTGGTTTGCAGGTCCAGGCTTTGCAGGGCGAGTGCTTCGGAGCGTAGCATCCCAAGCAGTTTGGAGCACTCAGGCATCTTCCACCTTCGGTGCCTCCGCGCTCGACGCCCCACCCTTTGTGCCGGGCCTGGGTGTCAGCGACTGGACTGGAGCTTATAAGACTTGGGGACCCCGCATTTCTTTGCTGCTTCGGTTTCCAGGTCTTTAGCTCACTGCTTGAGCTTATTGGAGGCTTGGGCAGTCTGGCTGGAGGCTTTCTGACAAATTCGATGTCCTTCCAGGAAACTTAGCGTTGTAACACAGCATAGCAGCTACATGTTTCAGGTGAGAGGGGGGGGTAGAAACTTTCCGCCTGCCAGTGACAGCTTCCAACGGGACGAGGTCCTGTCCCTTGCTTGGGGTCTGAGGGAAACGAGGGCCGATTCACCAGGTGTCGGGCTTGGTGACTTGCATCTGAGCTTTGTTTTGCAAGGCACACCAGAAGCCTCGCAAAAGGCCTTCTTGCTGCACTTACGTTAGTGGCTGATGCTTGCAATTCCGTTTCAGAATGCACCAAGGTGTCTTGAGAGTTACACAGTTACTCCTGTCGCCCATGCTCGATTTGAATTCCGCACGACTGCGTAAGTGGGTGATTGGAAATTGGGCGTGTGAATTTGGCATCTGTGGACGCACGATACCAAGATTTTTTGGATGTAGCATGTGGATTCGGCGCAGAAGGGGAACAGAATCGTGTAATTGTGTGCAGTTATTCTCTGCATTTTGGTGTGCCTGCCCTTGCACAACTCCTTAGTGCTTGTTGCCCCTTTTTGCCTCGGCTTCAGCCAACAAGTGCCCAGATCCAGACCTCGCGGATGATGCCGGACGCGACGACGACAACTACGCCGACAACGAGCACAACTCCAACCAAGGTGGCCCAACCTGCCGTGAGGGGCTCAGAAAAAGCTTCGTCGTCTCTGGGTCAAGCAAGGGTGCAGATTTTTCGAATGCTCGTCTTCTCCCAGGCCACTCCTGAGACAACGAGTTCGTCGGGTCAAACGACCGAGCGGACCGAGTTGCGCCGCTGGGTCTTCAAAGCAAAGGGATAGTTCCCGGCGTCTCATCGGGTCTAGGCCTGTAACACTGTAACTGTAGGAACATACTATCTCAACGTTGCCTCGGCTGCAGGCGAGCAGTGCGTCTCAGACAATCCACTTGGTTAAATGCCCCAGAGTCCTTTCAGAGTGCTCCCCCAAGAGGCAGTCTCAAAATAATACTGGCTTTCCAACAAACATAGGTGTGTCTTCATGCTTGCAGTTCATTTGTCAGTGTGTCTCTCGTTGTCTGTCCATTTGTTTAGACGTGCGAATGTGCAGATCTGCAGGTGCACAGCTGTACACATTGATGGTTGGCATGGTGACGGTATGCATGCATGTATGCATCAGTAGAGATAACATCCGTGCGCTCGATGCTCAAATCTATATCCCACACATGGAACCCGAGGCCCCCGAGTGAGCATTGGATGGCCTGGGACAGATCAAGAAAAGGATGATCACAATTTCTTTAATGGTTTTTGTTATGGTTTTGATACGTTTTGCATCTTGCAGTGTCTGATTTTTCACGGACGATTTATTCTGTTGCATGTGTTTTATGGCTTGTTTATGGTTTCTTTGTGGTTTTCTCATTGTTCAATTTTATGGATTTTGTTTTTCTTTTTTATGATTTTGCTAGCCTGGACCACGAAAATCTGAGAAAATCCTAAGTTCCCCTAGGAATTTAAAGGTTTTTGTATGAAGTTTTGCATGATTTTGATAGCAAAATCATACTTTTCCGAGGCCCGTGTGGGGCCAGGTAGCAAAATTGGGTTGGTATGAGTTTGAAATGATTTTGCTAGCCCGCACAGGGGGAACATTAAGTTCTCAGCAAAGCCATAACTTTTCTATGGCCCGTGCTGGGCCAAGTGGCCAAAATCGTAAAACAAAACATAAAAATCACAAATTGGACATAACATTTATGGATTTTTGATGATTTCTTTATGATTTTACTAGCCAGGTTGCTGAAGTTTCCTAGAATTTAATTGGTTTTGTATGAATTTGTATGATGTTGCTAGCAAAATCATAGCTTTTCCAAGGCCCGTGTAAGGACCATGCAGCCAAAATCGTAGACAATACAGCAAATCATAAAGGTTTCGATTAGTACTATTTCTTTGATTTTGCTAGCCCGAACGACGAAGTCCTAGGGGAAATCCTAAGTTTTTCTATGAAATCAATGAGTTTTGTAGAGTTTTTGAGTGGTTTGCGTTGCGAAATCATGCTTTTCTCTTAAGTTTTCCTATGAGTGTAATGGATTTTGGCAATGATGGAAGAGAAGGAAATGGACAAGAGCATGATCTGCAAGCTTTAGCAGGAACTTTCCAGCCAAAAGGGATCCGAGGCAGGATCAACCAAAGCAGACGACATTGAGGATCCAGTGTGCAGTATGAAAGGACCGATGGAGGAGAATCAGTTCATCAAAGGAATGGGCAATGTAGAAGGAAACAGTGACAAAAACTATTATGCAGTCCTCAACTTTAGTGACCAAAGGTACCAGTGGAAGTGGAACACCGTCAACCATCACTGGTACTTGTACTACTACGAGGCAGCAGAAGGAAAGCAAGGTTGGAAGAAGCAGCATAGAGATGCAAGAGGAAAGAAGACGTGCGGGGATCAGGAGAAGAGGATGCTTGAGAACAAAGGAAAACGAAAGCAGCAGCAGAAAAGGGGAGGAAAGGAAGAGAGAAAAGGGAAGGACGAGAGCAAAGGCAGTGAGGGCCCAATTCAGGTCCAGTCCAACGGAAACGAACAAGAAAGTTTCCAGTGAAAGAGAAGAAGAAGAGGAGCAGTGAGACCGATAAGGTCAAAGGACTGAGTCGGCAGCCCTTTTGAGGAAAACCGCGTCCAATACAGGATGAAGTAACCGTTCGCACGCACTAGGAACTTTTGTTTTTCTGCAACAAGGATGATGGTCCGAGTAGAGAGTCAGCCGAATTTTTTCGTACAGGAACAGCAAACTTGGAGAGTCTGCGAACAAGGAACAGATTTTCAAAACAGAGTGTCTTTTCAAACGAACTTGAGTGGAAGCCAGCTTAGCCTAAACAGACTTGCACTAACTTCGAAGGCGGGGTGTTACACATTCTGACCATGTAGGAACACACACACACACACACACACACTTTGTATTGACAGGAAATGTACAGGAACAGCCTTGACACGTAGTTTTCCGCAGTGTCTGAGAGTAAGAACCTTTTGTGAACCCCGTTCTTATTCAGACTTGCAGCAAGGTGTGTTTGTTTAAAGCAAGAACTTGCTGATTCTTGCCATTAGAATGGATTAATGCGTGACTCTGCAATGGTCTGGTCTGGAACACGAGGCCTCGACGACATCCTTCCTAAGGAGGCGACGCTGTCGATTACCAGCCCCGAGGCCATGGTTGAGGGTTTTGGAGCTTCCGGGATGAGGGTTTGGGGATCTAGGGTTTCCCAATTGGGTTTGCGGATTGCGGTTAGTGGCTTGGGTGGGTTTCGGGGTTTCGCTGGGGATGCCTATTGGATGAGGTGTCGGGTGAAGGTTGTAGTGGTTGAGGTCGTTTGGCGCCTGCTCCGCGAGTGCTCCGAGAGCACGTAGTGCTTCGCAAAACCATGCATGCTTGCTTGGCTGCCTTCACCCATCGGCAACACGTGCACCCGCCCGAACCTCGAGCCGCTGTAGATCGCAACACCAACGAAAAAGCGCCTCAACCAACCTCCCATCGAGCCCTGGCCAGGGCCTGAACGACTTCTTCGCCATCCTGCGCCAGCAGCCTCTTCCGGCAGACTTAGAGGAAGACCCGAGGAGACTCACCGCCACGAGCTGAGCCTGGGAAGTATCACTATGAAGACTCGATCGCAGTAGATCATGACTGGTGATTGTTAACATATGGTTTACTTATTTGTAGTCGCGATGCTGATGATACTATGCCTGTGTTAGCTGGCGTATTTGGTCTTCAAGATTTCGACACGGCATTTGGTCTTTAGGGTTTCGTTTTTTTGCAGGTAAATCTGGGCCGTGATTGGCGGATTCGGGGCCAGCAGGCTGGGGCTCTGGGCTTTTCTTGTAAGAGGTCTGGCTTCTGTTCAGATCCAAAGATCATGTGGAAGGATTGTTCATGGACTCCCATGTTCTGCATTTTTTCTACTAGGATTCACGGCAGCGTTCGGATCAGGGATTAGGCTTTTGTTTCACCCTTGACTCCAAAGGTCTTCAACGCCGCTATTGCCAAGGCTATCCTGGAAATGTACAAGGCTGTGGCCTTTTTGGGTTTTGGTTTGAACATTGCCTGTCGGAACCATGAGACTGAATAAGCTTATACCTCTCCAGTCTCGGGTAGCATTGGGTAGTATTAGTACTAGTGGCAGTATCAAACATCAAAGGAGTGGTGTGAGCATACGCTTATCGAGAACAACAAGATCTAGTGCGAATGTTTTTATAAACAACAAATTGCGGAGATCACCAGTGGGCAAGCAGTCGTCAAATGCTTGAGGCCGAAACACTGAGGTCCAGATTCCACGACGACAAGTACATAGTGTGGCCAAGTTAGCAGATCAGAAAACTCAAACCAAGAGATCACCATCCTTCACTGAAAGCGCCCACCTCGACCACTGCTAGATTCGCCAACGCCCCAGGGTTCACCTGAAGCAAATCAAACCAAGTCACAAACTTGCCTTCGCCTGATACAACCATTGTGCCAATATGCCACCACTGTCACTACGGCCTCCGCTGCTACCCCGGCAGAAGCGCTCTCCACCGACCGTCAAGTCGTTGCAGAGCAAGCTGCGGGAGAGCGGCCATTTTACCGAGGTTGGGCTGGGGAACTCTTTTTGAAGACATAGTTGTTCGGGCGCCGGAGATTTCGCCGGGATGTGCACTGGAGTCTGTTTGTTTTGCTTTGATTTGTCAGCGTCTTGCGACATTCTGGGTTTGCTCAGCAGCAACTCAAAAAGATTGCTTGGAGATCGCTCGATGGCGTGGGATGTTCTAAGCTGGGGTTACGATTATTATGCCATACTGGACCATGCTTGTTGTCATGTTTGGACTGCCAGAAGATTGTCATCCTTATTGCTCGCAGCATTTTGTTCACTGTTATCGCCGCTGCTGGTGGTGGTGGTGGTGGTGCTGCTGCTGCTGCTCCTGCTGCTGTCGCCACGGCTTGTAGTGTCACCCCGACCGCCGCCGCCACCACCGCCGCCGCCGCCGCCACCGCCCCCGCCACCGCAGCCGCAACTGCCACCGCCACCCGCCATCACCGCCGCCACCGACATCACCGCCAGCCACCACTACCACCACGACACCAACGACACTGCCACTAGTGTTTCCACTTCCACTACTATTCGTGCGGATGTTATAGTGAGAGATTCTTGCACAGTTAGCAAGCAGAACGTCTTATGCAGCCAGGAGCACATCCAATCGCTCCTCCTCGTTTGTGCGAGGGATGTGCCGTGGCATCCGTTTTGGCAGGTTGGGACAGCTTCTATGAGTGTCCGTATGTCTCTTCAAAACTCGTCGTGACTTGATGCTTTTTTGGAGTGTCAATGTCGGACGGTTGCTAGACCAAACGCCCGATACTCTTACGTAGGCCAGCTTGAATGGCTGGTGATCATGGCCACCGTCTTTTGTGCAAGCGAATGATATGACGATACAAATTTCCGATAAGACAGCAAAGACTTCTGAGATATAGCGCGAGACACACCAGCAGGATGTCGGGGTCAGTTCCCAGGTGCCCAAGATCTACTCCATTCGGCAAGCCCCGATGGGTGCGCAGCCGGTCATTCTGCTTACCAAGCCTCCGATGTGGTTCCAGGGCTTCCAAGACGAGGATCTGGTTCAGGACCGGGATTCGACGGTTCATGGGTGCTGGAGCTAGCCAGCGCATCTTACGATTTGTGCGGCTAGGATCTTGGGTTTTTTCGGAGCAGGTTAGCTTAGGGTGGAGCTTTGGAGGGTGACGGAGTTTGGTGTGATTGCTCAAACACAGTACTCCTACCTCTCTTCAGGCAGACACAGATCGGTTCAGCTAGACGGACAGATGGGAGACTGCCAGACCCAGATGCAGGATTGCAAGGCACTTAAATTCGCAAAATCTTACCGAGAGGTGAAGAGTGTTTCTTACCCCAGCAGTGGCACCAGCACAAGCACCAAGGTTACTCTATCAAAAATGTCGATAGCAACTGGGATCAGGGTCAGTCCTGCAAGTTCTTCTGATTCAACGCTGAGCGGCGGCTGCAGGAAGAGCCTGATCCTGGCAACACAGTTTACCCCGAAAGCCATGCCGCGGACAAGCAGGCGCCTCGTTGCTATCGCGGCTAAGGGGTCATCGGGGAAGGGTCCTTGTGATTGTTGCGATTCCTATGTTCTGTCAGGGCGCTGAAGTGCAACGTAGCATCAATGCCGGACCTGCCACACCCATTTGTAGATCGGTGGTGGTTGTCTTAATCCGTTCTCTTGTTACCTCGAGTGCAGGTGCCTGTGTTTGTCTGATCATTGTTGCCGTCTTGTGCCTTGTATACATGTGCATTGTACATACACAACTGATATGAAGATAAATATCAAAATGAACATATCTACGTATATGTGTGTACACACATATGCATGCATACATGTGTGTACCGAGACTGTACGAGGTGAGGTGAGGTGAGGTGAGGTGCGTAGGTAGGTAGGTAGGTAG